AAAAACTAAAAAGTTATATAAGAAAATTGTATTATATTTTTTAAATATTTTTAAATTTAAATAAAGTCCTTACACTTGAAAGTCAGTACCTTAAGAATGTATTTTAATTGTGTGTTATTAACACCGAACTGTTTTGGATGTGTTAATTATTATTTCGAGCATTGTTTATCATTTATAGCGGACTGAATTTCAACTATTTTTAATAGACGAATTATGAAAAAATTATTATAAATATTATAGCCAAATATTTTAAAACTATTAATCGGCTCTTACTTATCATTAATTTTGCTGTGTGGTGTTATTTTTATTTTCAGGTCGCATTATATTGATTAGTGTAAACAGTAACATAAGACAAGTTATTTTCTTAAATATTTAATTTTACGTTTAATTCTCTATAAAAAAATTAAACTATTTTTTATATCCAGGGACTTCACATTTTTATTTTTTCGGATTTACATACGTTATGATAATAATGGAAAAATAAACCCAAGTAAAGAGAGACAAAATATTTTTAAAGCAATAATTAACAGTAACATTCGTGAAACTAAAACTAAAAATAGACTAATCTTATATTTGAATATACAGTGTATATTATACACTCCTCAAAAAATAAAAGTAGTCACTTTTTTTAATTTAAATTTCTCTATAATGTGTTGACAAATTTAAACCAAAAGTGAAATACATAATTAAACTAGTCTTAGTTTATTCAATTAAAGCACAAAAGGGCGATTGCACGCGTTACTGATGGGACAATCGGAAAAAAATTTAACTATTTTTTGATATTTGTTGCTATCAGTAATGGGCTAATGACGGTAATGTTTGGGTAACTATTAAAGCTATAGTTTGTGTAAAATTTTCAGTATCAGTGCTATTAAAATGTTTTTTATTTTACGAACTAGAAATCAATAAAATGTTGTTACTGATGGGACAAGAAAAAGGTCAAAGAAATTTCTGGTTACTAGAAGAGAATAATTCTCTGAAACAGAATAATGTTGAAGAAAAGTATAGATGAACCAAGTTGCAGATGCAGTTAGTATAACTTATTTTGACATCACTCATCTTTCAGTGTAATCTATGTAGGCAATGCATTTTGATTTCTCGTTACTGACGGGACATTACTGATGGGACATTTATTATTATTATTTATTATACACTGAAACAAATGTGTAATTGGTTAATTTAACTAAATAACTTCAAAAATAATTTTAACATGATAATAACAACTGCAAAAAATTTAAAAGCATTTGAACAAATTTGATTTTTCGGATTCATAGTGCTTCTTAATCAACATATGAGTACCATCAACAAACTTAAAATAGTGTGAACTTAATATATCAGGTATTCAAATTTTTTTGTTTTTTTTGTTTGCTGCTTTTTATTTTCTCTAAACTTTCTTTTCCTTTCTCTTTCATTAATTTTTTGCTGCATTTTAAACCCACCATCATTTTCCGCCAACTTTTTTAATTTTTCTCTGTACTTTTTTGCGCTTGAAGCATTTTTAGACAGGTAAGTCTTTTTTAAAACAGGATTTTTATAAATTTTTTTGCGATATTTTTTAACCCGCCGCTTCGTATTTTCTTTGTCAAGCACGTTTTTTTTTGCCATCCTAAAAATTATCACATTTCGTTACTGACGGGACCAACTTAAAAAAAAAGAAATACAAAAATCTGGACAGCGAACCAATATATTTTTATCGCGTAAGCAAATGTGAAATAGGGACAAACATTTTTAATATTAATTAAAAACTGGGCAAGTTGCATACTTGCGATATTAAAACTTATCATATAATTTCGTTACTGATGGGACAAATATACAATAATATTATAAATTTAAATTTCTAGAACAGTTTACTTACTTGCAAAAAAAATATTCAGTAATATGTTCACTAATAGTGGCGTCTAATCAAAACGGACGTTTTCGGAAGCGTCACTTACTGTTATAGGTCAAAGCCACCTTGATTAAAATGCTACTTTGCAAATAAATTTTAACATCGGAAAATTGCTTATTTTTGACCATATTTTTTTTAAATAATAAGTACCTGAGATAAACATTTTTAGTTTTTTCAACTAATTTCACCATTAATGATTAACTTTAGTATATTTTTGTTTCATTGTGCCCTGCTTAAAACTGATGGAAAAAATTACATTGCGCGTGCAATCGCCCAAAAGTCATAAAAAGACAATATATTAAGCTATAATTAAATTTTTAGGACTAATACGTCTAAAATTAAATTGGTTAATATCAATTCAGAACAATGGTGTCTTAACTCAGCTAATATTGAAAAGTTTTGAACTTAATATCTAGTGTTGCCTCCCCTTGCATGCACAAGAGCTGCGCAGCGTCGTGGCATGCTGCGTAGAAGTCTACGAAAAGCTTCTTGTGGGATATTGTTCCATTCGTCAATTAGAGCCCTTGCCAACTCTCCGGTTGTAACTGGAGGATTTGGACGTTTCCTAAGACGTCTCCCTAATTGATCCCAAACATGTTCAATTGGATTCATGTCTGGGCTGCACGCAGGCCAATCCATTTTATGAATATTTTGATCTCTAAGGAAATTAGTGACGATTTGGACGGTGTGGGGTCTGGCATTATCTTGCATAAAGATAAAATTATTACCAATAGCATTTGCTTGTGGGATAACTTGAGGCTGTAGAATCTCATTAATGTACCTTTGAGCTGTTAGACCGCCATCAATGATAACCAGGTCCGTGCGAGTATTTATGCTTATTCCTCCCCATACCATTATGGATCCACCTCCAAAAGGAACGGTTTCTTGCACTGTATTTGGGTTAATTGCTGAACAATTGTTTTTTTATTACTTAGCAAGCTTTCAAAATATTATTTGACATTAAAATCGGTCACAGCCTTCTAAACATGAATTATTCAATAACTTTTTTCATTTTATTTTTAGTAACGCTCCGACGTTCGTGGCCATAAATTAATTATAAGTAGAGTAATTCACGTGAGATTTTGTAAATACCTTAATAAATGATCACTTTATTCGAATTCCAAGTTTGGTTTAAATATCTCTACATATGATGGAAAAAATTGAATTCGAAAAAGTGACTACTTTTATTTTTTGAGGAGTGTAATAGAAACAACGATTTCCATTATCATTTACCATAAAACATTCCTGTAGGAATAGTATACTAATTGTCCAAAATTTTTTGGTTAATTTTTATTTAATTAAACATATCTTGGGATCTCATGTACCAAATTGAAGTATAAAAAACACGCATACAATGCTGAAGTGCAACTTACCTTGGACGATTTAATTTAATTCGTGTTTTGCTTTTGTTTAATCGATAATCATTGTATATCATTTTTTTTTAATAATATTTGTTGTAGAAAAAGTGTAGCAACCAAACTTTTTTGGACAGTCATTTTATTAAACACTAGCTTGAATGGTTCGCTCGTGCCTAATTAATATTCCTGACTAAAATGGCGTTTATTGAAGTTAATACCTAAATAATATACTAATGTTGGATTTATTAATACTATTTTCATAAGTTAGATACATCAGAAATTGTGACATTGGGTTCTAAAGTAGAAACAATCTGCTTGAACATTTTTAAAATTATGAAAATATAAATTAAAAATTTTAGTAATTTTCAAGGTTTTGAAAATTTAAAACTTTTCAGAATTTTGAAATTTTTGGAAAATTTAAAAGTTTTTGAAAATTTATCCTACCATTTTTTATATTTCTTCTAGGTATCCACAATTTTTAATTTTGAACTATTGTGCGAGTTTGTACTACCATTTTTAACATTTATGTTACTGTACGAATTTTAAGACGGCATGTAAAGAATCTGTTAAAATACAAATGTTGTTCAAACAATTTATAAAACATGTATACATATCAAAGTGTGTTCTTTTTTGTTTAGTAATGGTAGTACAGGATAGTCGACTTCCTATATTCGGCCGTATCAATTCCAAGGGGCACTTGATTTTTTGACTAACCAATCACAATTCGTTTAAATTTAACTAATTTTTTGTATTTTTATTTAAATTTCGGACTGGTAATATATTTTACGAATTCAGACTGAATAATGAATAAAAAAGTAACAATTAATTATGTGCAATAAAATACGTAAGTAAATCTAAAAAAATAAAATATAATAGTTTAATCAAAAAATAATCAGGTATCAGAAAATGATAGGCAAATATTTCTATAAAATAATTTAAAAAATACTAAAAGTTACCATTATTATTTTTTATTCGGCCAAAGTTTAGAAAATAAGTACAATTGTGTAAAACAATATGTAACTTAATTATATTTACCAAAATAGGTACCTAACAAATAATTTGAAAATGTAATAAGGTAACTTTTGTCCGTAAAAATAAATGGCATATGTTTTCAGAAAGTAAAAATTTAGTAGGTGTGACGGATCCACTGATTATATTTTTTGAATTTGCTATAGCAGTGAGGTATTTCTTGAAATTTGCTACTTTATAGAATGTAGTTTCTATCGGAAAGAGTCAAGCAATCAGAACACGGCATTTACCAAAGGAAACTAGATTGCCACAGCAAATGCATTGCTTTTTCCAAAAAAAAGTTTTCTCGCAAATTTCAAGAAACAATTCCCAAAACAATGATGAAATTATAAAACAATTTAAAGGCTTAATTAAGAACTTATTTAATTTAAAGTTATCTAAATGTAATTAAATTAAATTATTATTTTTTTTAATCTAAAAATATATTTTTTTACTTTAAATAATTCTTTTTAAATTAAGCTCAGAAAGTACCCCTTGAATTTTTTGTTCATAATTTTCAAAAACGTATAATTTCAAGACATGTAAAAGCAGTTATTTAATATAAAGACTTACTTAAACAAATACATTTTAAGAATAATTAAAAAAACGTAGATCTGTAAATTTTCTATTAGAATTTAACTTGTTTTAAAGTAGTGTTTACTTAGTTTATTTAGTGTATTTTACTTACTTAGTTTATAGTATTATAGAGTATCGGGAGTAGATGGCTAGAGGCTAGTGTTTTGCAGGTTTCTGACGTTGTTCCCACAGGAGATCATAGCAGTGGACCTGCGCACGTTGCGGGCTATTCGAGTGCTAAGACCTCTCAAGCTAGTCTCTGGCATCCCTAGTAAGTAGATGAAACGTAGTCGTACCCTTCCACCCTTACCGTACCGTACCACCTCCCATTTATTATCTATTTCTTTTTTTTTAATAAAAACATGTTTCCGATAGTATACCTGTTTTAACAAGTGGCTATATAATTATTATTAGTATTATTTACACTATTAAGACATTTTGCAATATACAGGGTTTTTCCTACCGCAACCGCTTTATTTTAAAGATATGGGGTTTTCAAAATTAAAAAAAATGCAAGTTTCAAAAAAAATATTAACTGAAAATAGTGAATAGAATTTGGTACGCTGAATTCGAATTTGCCTCCAAAAGTCTGATTGTTGAGAAATTCTAATCCAAAAGTAGATAAACGCGTTTTGTAACATTAGAAATATCTTTTCGCCATAAAATGTGTTGTCATCTAAAATTACCACTTTTTAAAATCTGTTTTTAAATGTGAGTGCACTATTAAAGTAAAACTTCTGAAGGCGGTGATAGGAATCGTTTTTGAGAATGATTAGAGTTGTTACTAACTAGTTACTTAACAATTTTATAAACTTTGAAATCTTTTCTTTTCTTTTCTTCTCGCCAAACCCTTTTATTTGATACCCAAGTCAAGGAGGTTGTGAAAAAATAGGCAATCCATCTTTCAGCGACCGCCAAATTTGTTTGATTTATTTTCATCTTTCTCTTATGCACAGCCACTTTAATAAATGACGTAACCTCTGCGCCTTCATGCTCTCCTAATACTTAAAACCGTTTAAAATCTATCATTATGTATGTTTTGTGTATCCTCTCCTGATACTGCGATATTCCACTTTTGGGTCAGTATCTCTCAAAAACCTAACTTGGGCAAAACCAACTACTGATTTAAAATTACCAAAGCAATTGGTTAATCCAGTCAAAAACCTTGTAGACTATTGTAAATATATTTTGTTTAAATACGATGTTTACAATAAAACAGGGGGTATATTACGTTAAATGTGTTTTATTAAAATAATATTGGGTAATTATGCAAGATAGATGTGCAAATAGTTTAGAAAAGCTTATATATTTTAACAGCTTTTTACTTATATTTCTTCTCTAAATAATGTAATTTAGTTTCAGTTTTAGTGCATTAGATTCCAACACATTATACACTTACACAGTCCAATATTAAAACAGTCCGCTTGGAAATATTTTTTTAAGAGTCGTGATAAACTTGTAAAGTCGTAAATTTGTGCAACAAAAAGTAATTGCAAGCGAACATTTGCGGAATAAAAATAGATAGGGTGGATCAAAGGACTTCCTTTTTAATTTCAAAATAAATATTCGGCCATAAACGACCGAAAGGAAACACACAGGAGTTTGATCCACTCTATTATGTATTGTTTCGACTATATTTGTTAAAACCATTGAAAATAATAACTTGTGTACAGGCCTGCAGGTCGTCCTGAAGTCTATCATAAAGGCTATGGCTCCATTGCTGCAAATTGGATTGTTGGTATTGTTTGCTATTGTGATCTTTGCTATTATCGGATTGGAATTCTATTCGGGAGCATTACATCGGACGTGCTATAGCCTTTACGATATAGGTGAGTGTGTTGATTAGCTTTATTTATTTTCAGAGTTTTGAGAGTTCGAGGAAATGCTTTTATAAACCCACTCTTAAAAGCTTAAGAAAATTTGCATATAAGAGAAACATTTTTTATTTTTACAATTAAAACAAGGAACCGAATATAAAGTCATTAGCAGACTTATGTATACGATGTTATCGTATGTTTTCCTTACTACTTTATTTTCGCAATAAATTGGCGAATATTATGCCTGATTATATCATATGAATCATCTTATTTGAAAAGCGACCATCTCCATTTTTTTTTTAATGAGTTATTTACACTAATAAAATCGAAATATTACGTAGTTTATTAGTGCAAAATTATATCCCAACAAAAACGTCTATTTGCAAGGAAAATAATTCATTAAAGTTTTATGTTAGTTTTAATAACGGCCATTTCCATTGATCTTTTAAGTACAAAAATGTACTTAAAATGCCCATTTCCCTTTTGAAATATATGTTTTTTTAATTAAAACTTAAAACTGGTTACTTATTTTGTAGAAAAAATATTTTTAGTTACCATATGAACAAGTTTTTTAAAATATATTTATTTTTTACCCATTACTGTTTAGAATGTTTTTTGACGTTTTCTTAAAATATTCTTCAAAGGAGATGGCCGCTTTTGAAATTAGACGATTCATATATCATATAATATATTTAATCATTGTAGTATGCTACACTTTAAAGAAAACACAAAAAATTCCAATAAACTTTAATCAGACCTTCTTGGACTAAAGTTACGTATTTTAATGGTGTTTATTTAAGGATTTCAGGCACACTTGGCTATTTTTGGCCATATTAATTAATTAATTATGCTTTTTAAGAAAAAACTTAAAAGTCTTAACTCGGACATACCTCATACCTTAATAAAAGGCAAACTAAAACGTGTTTCTTTTCATGTGACTTTTTTAAAAGTTATATCCCCAAGTGTTGCCAAGTTTACCGGTCAAAATTTTTTAAAAACTTGGGTAGGTATGTAATACAGGTCATTGATATGCCAACTAGTGGAATTAGCCGTGTACCTTAGATAGGCCCATGTTTTGAAATTAGATTTTTTTCTTAATCGTTTGCTCTTAATTTTTAAAATCGACATTTAGAATAAAGATGTTGTTAAAGTGGAAGATATAAATGCAAACTTTTTTTTTAGACTGACAGTTTTTACAATACTTGCCTTTTCATATAATATGCGAATTAGACAATCGACCTATCGGCCAAAGTTGTTCGAGAAAATGTGATTTATAAAGAAGGGTCTAAAAGCCTGTAGCTAAAAACCTAAAGACGACTACACTTTTTAGCTAGAATATATTATCATAGATGAAACAATATTTTTCTAAAGCCTGTAGCTAAATACTTAAAGACCACTACAATTTTTAACTAGAATATATTATCACAGATGAAATAGTAATTTATGTATCAAGGCAGTAAAGTCGTATTTTTTATCACGAATGTGAAAATTATTTGCCGAGGCAAGAGCCGAGGCAAATAACCACGTGCGTGATAAAAAATGACTTTAACGCCGAGGTGCATATTAAATTTTATCCGAAATCACATTAAATAGTACTAATAATTAATATTGATGATTAAATCAAATGTCATATGATGATCAAATCAAATGTCATTTGAATGTAGGAAGTGCGACGTTGCGACGGTTATTATATATTTTCCCGCCTCGGCGATTTTTTAATCTAATTAACTTATTATTTTTATTAAACAACAATTTGTGAAAGGGTTCAATCGTCCTCCGCGACAATGCTTTTCTTAAAATATTATTTACATCTTAAAATGTATAATGGGTTGCATACAATACTCGCATTAAATCGGCAGTAAAGTTCTACCTTACTGTCGATTTCTTTTACTTTACTGCCGATTGTTGACTACATAACTGCCGATTTCGGATAAAAATATTTTTCTAAACTATTATGAGCTCGATGAAGAGTATATAATTTATATATTTGGCATTATAAGTAATTTGTATAACAAATGATTCTTTACAAATAAAAAAGTTAATGTATTAAAGTAAACCTATGTTTAACATTTAACCTGAATAAATAATATAAAATATTTTGGCCAGGTAAATTTCAAATGATACTACATTTATTGGTGGCTGCTTTTTCACTTATACCATGGTATACCCTAAACTTAATGGCCAATTTTTATGTAAAATTATCCCCTGAATTCAAAAATATTATGAAAGTAGAGCAGTTTTTGGATATAGTCAATGTCATATTATATGGAAAATTTACTATATCTCAAAAACTGTTTTACTTTTCAAACTTTTGACGACATTTTCGGATTCAGGGCAAATTTTACATGGAAATTAATTGCTAAATGTTCGGGATACAAATTGCTATTGACGAGAATTATTAGTGGCTGCTTTTTCGCTATGACAATTAGTCATTTTTGACTAATTCATTTTTAGAGAGTACATGTTTAATCAATCTTTAGAAAACTAAACAAGCATTTATTAATACATTTGTTTGTTATTTAGATGAAATAGTGAAAGAGGGCGAAGAAGAGGTGCCTTGCAACACGGATAATGAGACACAGGCAAAGTCGCAGGGAAGCAATTGGTGCCGCGACGGGAACTCCGTGTGCCTGGAACGGTGGCAGGGACCCAATAATGGCATCACTTCCTTCGACAACATTGGCTTCGCCATGCTTACCGTCTTCCAGTGTATCACCATGGAGGGATGGACCAGCATTCTTTATTGGGTATCTAGTTTTTTTACCACTTTACTACTAAAAGATTTACCTATAAGGGTGTTCGAACTTTGTATTGCTGTGTAGTCCCAAAAAAAAACAATTCATGTTTTTAAATCAGAGCCATTGATTTCAATTCTTGACTTACCAATCTTTCCGGGAATTAAGTCTATTGTAATGCTAGCAATCTTGGTAAAAGTAAAGGTCGTCCAGGGCTGTTCTATCAAATTTTGTATTTTATTACTAAATTTGAAAGAATAGCCCAGGACTACCTTAAATAGGTGCTTCTTCTCCCTAATTAAAAAACAAATAAGAATCGGTTATGCCTCCGTGCCATAATCCACACTATACAGTGATTCCTTGCGGATACAAAGGAGTATCCCTGATAGAAAAATTTGATTCTAAGAATCTTCTAAGAAGATATGACCCGGAATAATGGAATATTCTTAGAACCTTCCCTTATTGCTAAGAATGTTCTTAGGGACTTTTAAAACATTCAATAGATACCCTTTTAATGATGCAATTAGATTCTTAGAACCTTCCTAAAAAGCATTCTAAGAACATTTTAAGAATACGTTTTTGGAATGTTCTTAGAAGGTTTCTTATAGAGCTTCTAGGAAGCTTTTGAGAATATTTCCAAATATGTCAGATACCCACGTTCTAATATGTTGTATTCTACATTCGTAAAATTCTTCAGGAGACGACAAATACGCCTCACTGTCATAATATGACAGTGAAATGTATTTGTCGCCCCCTTAAAAAAGTTTGCGACATATTAATTTATATTTATTTAAAAATATTAAATAAACAATTTGACCTTTAAACCATAAGTTGTATGACATTATTTCATAAAAAGTAAAATTGGAAAATTTTGTGGGATAAGTCAGATTAGATTGAAGTTAAAGATAGTTAGGATTATTATACATAAAAATGTTAATTCAGATATAAAAAATCGGTATACAAATTAATAAATATTTATTTTTAACATAAAATAAAATATAAAAAAACAAAATATTTCCTTATAAAATAATTTTTCATAAAAGAAAAAACCAAATAGTTCTTCATAAAAAAAAACATTTTTCATTGTATTTAAGTTGGATAGAAGATTTTATGTAAAACCCGGATAATTTAGATACCTATAGTAAAAGTATTTTTGTTGTCGAATATTGCTTTAATTTGACAAATAACTATAAAAAATATTTTGGGTTGTGTTTTTACTTAGTATTTTATACTAAGTATAGGTACCTTTATACGTAGATTATGGTATATTTTACTATTATATAGGTACCTAACTGAACTGAATATCCTTAACAGAATGTTCCAGGAATATTCCTAAATGAACTTTCTATAGCAATTACTTTCTCAACATTCTAAGCATATGTTTAGAGTGGATTAATTTTTACCACTAAACTTTGCACCTTCTAAGAACCTGCCTATAGGCCAGTGAGAATATTCTTAGGATTATGCAATATTTCTTTTAAGCATGTTCTTTAGAAGAAATATAGCATGATCCTAAGAATATTCTCACTGGAAGGTTTAAAAAACATTCTTAGAACATGACTAGAAGAAATATAGCATGATCATAAGAATATTCTCACTGGAAGGTTTAAAAAACATTCTTAGAATAAACTGTGCTATCAGGGATAGTGTATCGCTGGTGGATTATATTAACAAACAAACAAACAAGTGGAATTTCGCTTATTAACTAAGTCCTTTGGGGTCGGTTTTTCAATGTCCAGTTAGGTTCAAGTTAGTTTTTTTTTAAATAGGTACTATTATTTTCTGAATAATCTTTATAGAAACAATTTGTCAGATAAACTAACTGAAACTTAATCAGATTAAAAAACCGACCCTTAGCCAAAAATACGCCTCGTCAGAAAATACGATTTTCAGTACGAAGATCAAAAAGAACTCGAGTTTAAAACAATTTCTAAACATTTTGGTAAAACAAAATGATCCATGCTAAAATTTTAAACATTTCTAATACACATAACAGAAGATTTCTCGAAGTTTCGATATCTTTATTGGTAAATTCTGTACACCATAAGTAAATTTAGCTTCAAAAAGTTAGAATGTTATATATCATATTATAATCATATTATAATAATGTAATGTTAAACTACCGATTTAACTCCCTTGGTTTTTGTTGGGTCAACCAACAAAGCATTTTCATAATTTTTAACTACAGAAACCATTATAGATAAAACAACATTTTTTTGTATAAATGCTGTTAAATTTTAAAACGCTCATTAAATTAAAATTATTTACATAAGGGACAAAAAAAATGAAACCGTCCACCTAAAAAGTTTTTTATGGATTTTAAAAACATATTTTTAATAAAGTTAGGTATTTTCATCCTCTAAAGTTTTTTAATTTTACTTAATACGTAAACAATCGCAAATCAAAAATTTACGCATCAATTTTTTAAATTATTATATTTCGGAAACTAATACAGACATGTTAGTTATTCGTAAGTAATATCATAAGGGCATCTAATTTTTCCAAAAAAACACGTTGCTAAGTAATATTTTAATAAGAAGCATGAGTGCTGGTGGCAACAAAAATCCGAGTCGAAGACGAAGATTTTTGCACCTGCACGAATGCATTTTGTTAAAAAATATTACTTAGCATTGTGTTTTTTCGATTTTTTTCACAGGAAAAATTAGGTGCCCGAATGGTATTTGACAAGACTATTTCATGAGTAACAGTTAATACTTAAAATATAAATTGCAATTTTTGGTGACAACACCTGTCAAGTTTTGCCGCGGGTAAACTCGAAAAAACTGCTGACAGGTGCTGTCATACAGTTTTTCCACCTAAAAACCATTTGTAATTCAAAATTGCGCGTTTGTGATTGGTGGAAATTAAGAAGAGGGAAATAGTCTTTTCTAAATAAAGATAAATATATTATTATACTCGTATATCAGGCAATTGTTTTATTAGTCAATTTTTATTTTATAACACTATTTTTTTTACGAGTAAATTAAAAAAAAGAAAAAGTTAGTAAACATTGGTTATAAATATTTAATTGATTGTTAAATTCATATTAAAACTTTCGGTGGTTTGTATAAATAATTTCTCAAAATTTAAAATTAACTCAAATGTGGCTTTCCCCAAGCTACCCTATATATATATACCTATAGGTACCTATAGGTATATATTATAGGTACGTAAAAAAGGGTGCTTCAAAAATTAAAATTTAATTTTTTTTTCGCTCTTACCCTCTCAAATGTTTCTATTTAATATAAAAAAAAATTCTCACCAAATATGGGCGTTCCAGCTCAACTCTAAGAGGTCGCTGTTTTTATTTTAGTTTCCCATTTAATTAACATGGGAAAAAATAATTTTATGTTTGGAATTTTATACCTCTGTATCAAAGTAACTTATGGTAATGAACATTGCAGTTTCTTATATAAAATGTAACGCTCTACAAAAAAGGTCTCCAATTACGTTTCGATAAATTGATTTCTTCTAGAGTTATTCGAGGTCAAAGTTTGATTAACATCAAATTTTCTGTTTTTTTTAATTTATGGTACAATTAGCAGACGGGGGTGAAAGGGGGCAAGGCAGCGGGGGGGGGTCAAAATGGGGTACCCAAAAAATTTCGTAATAAAAAAGAGTTGATTGAGAAAGTCTTCACTTAACGGTAAAAGATAAAAAATGTGTATTATATTATGTATAATATTATGTTGCCATGAATTCGTAGATATTGTCTGTCTTTAACTATTGCAAAATTCAGTTGTCGGCGATTTTTTAGAGGACTGATGTGTAAAAAGGTTTGATTTTAAGGTTAGGTTTGTACAACTATTATTTTTTGTTAGATTTCTTAAAAATGTCAATTAAATTAGGTAAGGTTATCATTAATTAATTCTGCACCAAGAAATATACGTACCAAATCCGGTTTAGTTCTTGAATAAATCACCATGATCACTTTGATAAAATATACACACGAAGCATAAGCATACAAAAAATAAGTCGAAATCGAGTACTAAACCAAGCAAAGTTTTTTAGTGTTTACTTAAAACGCGAAACACAAATAACGTGCGCGGTTAAGCTGTGCAATTGAAACTTTGCGATCAAAATTTGTAAGTAAGAGTTCTGCCTTCCTCTCTTTTGTGAAAAACCTACTTATTTATTTAAAAATTATGTGCAGTTCGTATGCTTTAAATGACAAACTAAGAAAATTGCTATCGAGCGCCACCAGATAGTGCGCGCGTTGCGAAAACCCGATGCTTCTTTAGCGTATATTAAATTATTTATAAAAAAGACAAAATTCGCGTTAATTCTACGCGATGTACAGGGTTATTTCGTATATTTAGGCAGCGCCTACTGAGTTTAGTAAGATATGGGACAAAAATTTAAATATATTTGTATACAAAAGTTGTAGGCTTTGTCCTAAATCTCAAAAAAATGTTACGTATCGCATCCATTAATGATTTATATTTATTAATTTATTATATTTATTTGAAATCATTAATAAAGTTCGAACCATTTGTTTTTTTATATATTGCTATAGCAACTACGATTTGATAAGGCAATACCACTTTTTCATACCAGTTGACCACTAAAATATCTTGATATCGTTAAATGTTTTAGCAATTAAAGCACTATTAGTTTTTCCAAGTACTGTATTGTTAAACAAATGAAAATGGTTCAAACATTAACGTATTACCAATTACATTAGTCACATATGATCCTGTAGAATCAGTGATCTCGTGAAGTTTAACCCATATAAAAAATTTTATAATTGGCATGTTATAAACTCTAGATGTAATTTTGATTAAAATAATAAATAAATCAAAAAATATATATGTACTTTCTAAAATTGATTTAATTGTTTTAGATGAATGACGCTGTGGGAAGTTATTTCAACTGGATGTATTTTGTACCACTCATTGTTTTGGGTTCTTTTTTCATGTTAAATTTAGTTCTTGGTGTCCTCAGCGGGTAAGTGATTATTCGTGTTACTTTTATTTATGCACGAAGAACATTTTTATTCTTATTTTGACAGAGAGTTTTCGAACGAACGTCTTAGAGTCGAACGAAGACAAGAATATTTTAAAAATAAAGCGAAAATAGTTTTTGTTGAGAGTATTAAACACTATCTTGATTGGATTACTGAAGCAGGTAAAATCACTTACTAAAATAATCTTCGTTATTATTTTTAATCAGTGAAAGTTTTTACAAAGTATCGTAGTCCTGCTAGGCGCTAAATTAAATAAAATTATCGGAAAGGTTTGAAATTAGGTATGCCTTGAAATTTATGAATAGTGACCAATTTTAAGTTTTTATGCTCTATAATTTGGATGACTTTATTAATAACAAAAATGTATGTCACGACTATATTAATTTATAATTCTCTTAAGAGATAACTTCTAAAAAACTTTAGAGGTAAATTAAAATTAAAATAAAAAATCTTATCTTTACCTGTAGCTAACAGTCTACAATTCATCGAATTCTAGTAATTCCTTAACTTATTTTATTTAATGACTTACATAAAAAAATGGGCTAAGTTTAAAACAAAAAATACCAATATTATAATATTTTTGTATATATACATATATGTTAATTTTAAAAGAACATGCCGTGTGTCTCGCGGAAATATTGCATTTAAATTTGAAATAACTCAAAATGAACTTTACGGCTTTTAAGAGTGTATGCTAGTGATGAAGGTCATCCTTTGGGAAATCAGGTATGAATGGCTTCAAGGGTGAAGATCGCGCTCTTTGCGTGAAAGGCTATTACAAAAACAACAATTTTTTTAAAAGAATGGTAGAAATTTAAATGGTGAACTAGTAGGGCGCTAGCTAGTTTTCCCCAAATGAAACGAGGGCCTCGCTAGGAATCCCTACTAGTTTTCGACTAGTCATGTTATGCTTTTCCTGGTGGGGAACTACTGGGGAAAAGCTGGTAGGAAAAACTAGCTTAAAACTGGTTGGGAATTTTTTAACCAATAATAAAGGCCAATAGAACAAAAATTGTTTTATTAGATTTAAATATATATATAAAGGCAATTAATTTTATTGGACTATATCTAAAGGCAATATTTCCGACTATTAGACTGAACTTGTGAGTGATAAATTTATCGTACGTTTTATACTATTTCGTCACTTATTTGAAATATTAACAAATTTTATTTGTCCATTTGATTTCTACCCCCTCAACTTAAATCTCACCCAAAAAATCACCCCTTAAATATATGCCCAAATGTAAAAAAATCTATAAATTTATAAAATTTAACTTAAGTTAAAGATGTTTAATTAAACACCCTCAAAGTCTTGTAAATCAAATATACTTAAATTCTAAAACTTAAAAAACTAAGGTTGGGTTAAACTATAAACTTATAAGCGCAATAAAAAGTATTAAGCACCTCCTTTCTTTTCCTATATTTTCGCAATTGCTTAGCGATAATACAATCCATTCTAAGAGTAAGAATGACTATAATCTTAAAGATTTTTCCTACATTTCCTTACAAGTTTATGGTGAGGAAAACTTGACTCAGCCTAGACTGGAATTTAATGAGGAAAACTGGATGTGAACTAGTAAGTCGGAGCCAAGTCACAACTAGGCAAGTTTTACTGGTTAATTCCTAGTCGGGGCCTTTCTAGTAATTTCCTTTTTAGTTTTTCTCTATCTAAACTTATCATAGCTAACGACGCTTTAATTGTGCTCCATCAGTGAAGAGATTTGAGGAGACGCCAAAAAAGAAAAGAGGCTCCAGTAAGACCATCTACTGACCAGAAATCTAAGCGAGTGCAGGGGACTGTTGCGACTCATCCACGACATTCGATTCGTAAACATCTATTAAAATCCACTGTTATTTTATTTTAATTTTAAAAAGAAAACTTGCTGAAGGACACTTAAGATTCTCTGAACAGGAGCTGAATGTTTACGAATCGAACAGCATATTTCACCCGCTCAGTTTTCTAGTGTTTTGATGGTGTTTCTCTTTCCTTTATCGGTGTTTTTATACCCTTCTTCTTAAATATTTTTATAAATAGCTATGTAAATTTTTTAGAAAACAAATTCAATATTTTCACTAGTAAAGCGAATTATAAACAACAGAAAACCCTTAAGGGGATTTCCTAAAGGACTACCTTCATCACGAACACACACTTAAAAGCCGGACATTCTCAAATTTAAAAACAAAATTAGGCGAGGGACACTTTGCATTAGGGTAATACTTCAATTTTACTTCCTTTAAACTGCGCGCCTTCCAATCTACTTCCAAACTCAATGTTCAAGTAAAATCATACATTATTACAAATCGCCCTAGATATCAGCGATTTTGACCAAACTTGACACATTTGTATGCATATGTATACAGTTGTATATATGTATGTATGTACATATGTACTGTATCTACTCCAATATTTATTAAATTGTATGACACGTTAAAGTAGACCGGGTTTACAGTGGTGTAGTAAGTAGCTTATATCTACCAAAAATATTTAAAAAAAAAAATTTATTATAATGCCTGACATTATGGCCTATTTTATTTTTTTATAACATAAACTTAACCTTAAGTTTTGTCAAAAAATAAATATCGATGTTTTTTAAACACCATTTTTATTTTTTTGCGTACTTTTAAAATTTAAGTATCCCAAGTCGTTTCCGTAATAGCCTAGAATGGGGTGAATAAGCTATGACCTCCACATGATACGTACTTATTTTGTTTGTGCATATTTTTAATTAGTTTTTTTAATTTATTTTTTGTTAGTTATGTGCTAACCCGTGGGTAGGGGTTCCATTTATTAAAACACAATATAGCACAAAAGTATTATTTATTAATTCACTAGATTATTGTTTAGTAATTCATGAACTCTATATATTTAATAACTAGACAAATACAACTTATCGCGACAGTGTTCACACACGCACTGATTCTTTCCGAAGTTATTCATACAACCCATCTTATGTAATCGATGACTACTAATTACTAATCGGTCTCCACAATCCCTCCTTTCTTTTCAATTTAATGGGTGGTACTTTAACCTGTGTGGTTGACTCCTCTTTGTCCTCTTGCTCTGTGGTTTGGTCCTTGATTAATGGATTAGTTTCTGCCGGATAATCCGAACTGGAATTGGTGTTTGTTACATTGCTATCCGGTGTATTAGATGACACCGGAATCTTCTTAACATGGCTTACATGTCTTTTAAATGTTTGGCCATTTTCTTTCGATACTGTGACTTCGCTCCCTTCCTTCTGTATCACGGTATATTCATCAGAGTTGTATCGAGTAGTAAGTTTGTGAGGCTTAATCATATTACGAAGCAGAACTTGATCTCTGATTTCCACTTCTCCCTCCTTTGCCCTTCTACGCCTATCTTCCTTCTCCTTTCCTTTTTGTTTGTTTAGGATATCATTATCTTTGGCTTCTTCATCACTCGGCTCATTTACTAAGTCCGAAATTGATGGTTTTTTTTCACGAATTCTTCTATTAAGCAGTAATTCTGACGGAGATTTTCCCGTAGTTCCATGCGGCGTTGTGTTGTACATCATGGTGAACTTCTGCAATTCACTGCGATAATTCATTTTGTTTGTATGACAAATTTGCAATCTCTTTAAAATCGCTCTGTTCATATTTTCCACCTCTCCATTTGCTTGTGGCCAGTAAGGTGGAGTTTGTATTAGCTGGATATTGTGGTGGGTGCAAAATTCTTTGAACTCTCTACTCGCAAATTGAGGTCCATTGTCAGCTCTAATTGATGTTGGTATTCCAAGGCGAGCAAAAATTTCTAACAAATGGTTGATAATTACGCTTGATGTAGTTGTTTTGAGAAATTTTGCTTCCTGGTATCTGGAGTAGTAATCTATAATTACCAATAATTGTTCTTGGTTAGGTAGTGGTCCCATCAAATCTATTGCGATGCATTTCCAAGGTCCATCGGGGAAACGATGTCTTTTCATTGGTGGCGGCCTGTCTGGAATAGTTACAAGCAAACAGTCCCGACAAGATTTGACAAATTTTTCTACTTGTCGGTCAATCAGTGGCCACCAAACCTTGGCCTTTAATCTTCTTTTCATTGCGGTCTCTCCTGGATGACCCTCGTGAGCTAGCATAAGTACATTTTCACGCAGTATCTCTGGGATGACAAGCTTGTTACCACGGAGTAGCGCAGGTCCCATAGTTGTTAGTTCCTCTCTAAATGGAAAATATACCTTTTTATCCGACATTTGCCAGGAGTTTTCATTTATTTTGTTAGCAGCTTCTACTATTTGGGGATCGAGTTTACTGCTAGTTAGTATTTGTGAAATGTTTAGTGCCTTGGGCGATGTTTTTTCAATTATTGTAAATATATGATGTTCGCCTTCTTTGTCAAAAGATGAATCCTCACTTATCTTGCACAGCCTTGAAAAGGGGTCAGCAATGTTTGATTTTCCTTCCTGATATATAACTTTAAACTTATACGATTGGAGGCGTAAAACCCACCTTTCAATTCTAGCGGGTGGTTTAGAAGTTGGTCGAAAAATCGCTTCTAAAGGCTTATGATCCGTTACTAACTCAAACTCTAACCCATACAGATAATAGTAAAAACGTTCTACCCCCCAAACTAGAGCGAGGCTTTCCTTTTCCGTTTGTGAATATCTACGTTCAACAGGTGACAAGCTCTTACTGGCAAACCATATAACCTGTGGAATTTCGCCATCAAATTGTAATAATACAGCTCCTAGAGCTACGGGGCTAGCATCAGCTATCAGGCGGGTTTTTCTTTGTGGATCAAAGTATGATAATTTTGTTACGGATGCCAGTGAATGTTTAAGTTTATCAAAATGCTTCTGATGTATATCATCCCAGTGGAAAGTGTCATTCTTCGATGATATTTTCCTTAGTGGTTCTGTCAATGTGCCCAAATCAGGGATAAATTTCCCGAGGTAGGTTACCAGACCAAGAAAACTACGCATTTCTTCCTTTGTATTGGGTGCTCGAAATTCTAAAAGTGTTT